TTTTTTTTTTTTTTTTTTTTGGTTCAACCCTTAGCACTCAGCTCAGCATTCCCTCCTCTGGGATTGTGACTTCTCCAGTCTGTGCTGGGTTTTTAAAGCACGTTGCTAATAACTCTGAGATGTTTATCATGCTGAATTTACAGATAGCCTTCAAATTTGATGTATCTGAATTTTGCAAAGCTATTTTTTTGAACCTTGTATATTGACACCCTTAAAGTGTATTACCTTTTTTATTGCCAAGGCTTCCTGATAAATGTTTCCATAAAAATCTTTTCCTCATTGCACTTTTTACATTTTGAAATATATTTATTCATGTGATTGTCTAATGTTTCTCTCCACTGCTAACACTAAGCACATAAGAGCAAGTTTTGCTCCATTGCTTTGCATATAGCAGGTACTCAATAAGTATTTACTACATGAATGAATATTACAATGTTTATGCTCTTATTTTTTTTAATTAGAATATTCTTGCATATCTTTTTTTATGGAAATAAGGGGGTGGGGAGAATCCAAAAATACAGAGTGATGATACTAGTGTTAGGGGACAAAGATCTTAGAAACTCAATACAATTGAGCCAAATGTGGAAATTATTAGGTGTGAAAAATCTTCACTCTTGATTAGATGCTCATTGTATTTATGCCAGTCAGTAGTAAATTCAGTTTGAAAAAATTGAAATTTTAAAACATGTATGAAAAGTTTAAAAAAATCATTCAAGATTTTGTCTGAAAGGACAGGGGTTTAGTAATATATTTAACTTTCTAGACATGGAACCATTTCCTTTAACATGCTCTTTGGATATTGGACTTTTGTATACATTTTCAGAAAGACATAAATGATTATATGGCACTACCTTTAATTAATCCGATGGATTCTCAAGGACAGGAACTATGTATTACTCGTCTTTATTCCATATGCCTTGAGACCTATTTTGTTAATAAATATCTGTTCACAGGTGAGTTAACTGACAGCAAAAGGCATGTGTATCAGATAGGATTAAATTTAACTGCATATTATAGGAAAACCAAAAATAACGATAACATAAGAAAGATAAAGATTAACCTCTCTTGTGTGTAGAGTCCCAAAGTAGACAGTGTAGGATTGGTCTGGAGGCTCCAAAGGAACCCAGGCCATTTCTGCCCTAGCATCACTAGGGTACGGCCCTCATCTTTGTCCTGAGTGGTTATTAGAATTACAGTGCTCATATCCCAGTGCCAAGTGTTAGGACTGAGGCAGGGAAGAAGGGTACACCTTTTGAAGAAGACTTCTTGACTTTGACACAGCATTTCCACTTTTATCTTATTGGTGCAAGGTGACACCTAACTGCAGGAGAAGGTGAGAAAGGTCATGTTATAGCTGGATGTCAGTGTGCTCATAATAAAAGTGGGGATTCTGTTACTAAAAATGATGGGAAAGGCAGTTCATTGGACACAGCTTTAGTTTGCTCTACAATATTATAAAAAACAAATAGCTCATTTAACTGAGCAACTTTTTGTGGGCATGTTTGGATAAATAATCATTGGATTATTTTTTCAGGTACACATAGTCATTTTTAATAGTAAAATTGTTTATAATTCATATAATGAAATCAATATTTTCTCACATTACCACTCTTACAAATATTTTTTCCCTGGAAAGTGCTTCAAAGGCACTTAACTAGATATTCTCTAGGATTTTCTCAACACTTAAAAAACCCCGTATCAGTGCTTCAAAGAGGATTAGTGCTCAAAGATAAACTGAGGTGTCTTATAGATGGCCGCTGACCTCTCATTATTTAAAATAGCACTAGTAGCCCTAGCTGGTTTGGCTCAGTGCTTAGAGCATTGGCCCACAGACTGAAGGGTCCTGGGTTCAATTCTGGCCAAGAGCATGTACCTTGGTTGCAGGCTCAATCCCCAGCCCTGGTCAGGTGCCTGTGGGAGGCTATCAATCCATGTGTCTCTCTCACATTGATACTTTTCCCTTTCTTTCTCTCCCTTTCTCTCTCTGAAAAAGCAATGGAAAAATATCCTTGGGTGAGGATGAAAATAATACTAATAATGGGGTCTATGTAGTTAGAAAGATGGTTTTGATGTTTTCATGAAGCTTTTTGGTTTTGGTTTTGAGTGTAACCTTCATATTAAGTCAGCCATTCAGTTTCTAAGTTCTGGGGACATTTAAGCATCTATATATTGCCTGAGAACTTGTCGTGACTGACTAAATAATAGTGCTATTCAGTACTGTGCAATAATAAAAGTTACAACTGACATGAGACACTGGATTTTTATTTTCATTACACATGGAAGAAGTTAAAGAAAATGTAATGTAGAATTTAGAATATACAAAATAGTATTTCGTTCCAGTTGTTAAAAATAATTTTGTCCTTTTTTCCTTAGTTCTAGAGTTTGAAAGAGTTTATCTTGATAATCTCCCCAGTGCGTCCATGTATGAGCGCAGTTACATGCATAGAGATGTTATCACCCATGTGGTGTGCACCAAGTAAGTCTATCATGTCTTTTTTCATTTTCTTCCAAGAAGATTTTTTTTTTTAAATGCTTCAATTTTGATGTGGGCTTATAGAAGTAACTTTAGGATATTATGGATTTCTATTTAATTTCATATGTTCTGTGCTAGTTTAAGTTAAAGGGCTACATGTTTTTTTACTGCGTCACACAGGGAATGCTTCCTCTAAGACAGAACTCTTTAGTTTGTGTGTATATCTTTTGGAAATAAGTGCCCAAAGGGGATGAGCCAGGTAGTGTCTGAGCTTTCCAGAAGAAGAGTGTATTAGCCAAGATGGGAGTACTTGATAGCTGGCCTCTTCAGTGCTAGTGTGGAAGAAGATGAGAATGAAGAAATCCTGGAAATGTCATGGGACTTTCAAAATAAGTGAGTGGGATTTGGAGGGGGGTAATCATAATCGTAATATTCTACCATATGTTTACCTCATATTATGCCTAAATACTGTTCTAAAGCTTTTTCATAAATTATCTCACTTATCTTAAGAACAGTCTGTTGAAGTAGTAATATAATCTACATTTTATAAGTGGGGAAATAGGTTTAAAGAAGTTAAATGGCAAATGAGGCTGGAGAAAAAAATGCAAGGGTTAAGTCCTAGAGAGTTTTCTATTCCTCGTATGGATTTTGAACCTGTAACCAGGAGAGTAACATCAGATTGATTGATTGATTGATTGATTGATTGATTGATTGATTTTAATATATCTTTATTGATTTCAGAGAAAGGAAAGGAGAGGGAGAGAGAGAGAGAGAAACATCAATGATGAGAGAGTCATTGATCGAGCCCGCAACCCGGGCATGTGCCCTGACCGGGAATCGAACCCCGATCGCCTGGATCCTAGGTCGACGCTCAACCACTGAGCCACGCCCGGCCGGGCCAGATTTAGTTTTTTAAGAGCACTCTGGCTGTGGTGAAATTAATGGATTTAAATAGCGCCAGAATGGATACAGTGAGAGCAGTTAGGAGACTAGTATAGAAATCTAGATGAGATGTGATGGTGGCTTGGGTGATATTGGAAGTGATTATGGAAAGAAGTGCATTAATTACTTTGCTCTTTGGATCAGTCTGTTCTTAATCTCTTGGAAACCATTTAAGATATAAATTTCATTAAAATACCTTTATATTTCACTTATAGAATAATTCTAACAGGCATTAGCACCTTTCCTCGTCCAAAGTTGTCAGTGTATAAAGCAGCATATTGGGCTAGAATTGCTATCACTCTCTCCTCAAGATTTTTTTTAAACCCAAGGCAGCAGGGTATAATAGAAAGATTATAGGTTTTGAAATTAGGCAGATTTGACATTGAATGCCACTCTCCAGTTATGGACCTAGGGCAAATACATTTAACATTTTAAAACTATTTCCTAATTTGTAAAATGATGATAAAAAATACCCACCCTAATAGAGTTGCTATAAAGATTAAATAAGGTAAAGTGTGTGAAATACCTGCCACATACTAGTTTTCAATAAATGGTTTCTATTTTTATATACATGAGATGATTCTGTACAAAATCTTTTTGATAATTTAAACAACCAAAATACCTTGGATAGGATACAAAACAAACTTATGTTGAATTTTGCTGTATATGAAAGTAATATGTTGAGATTTAATTATTTATGAACTTCTAAAAACTAGAACATTTTGCCTGTGAAAAGACTGCCTATAGGGTAATTTTAGCATTAAAAGAGATTTCTTTCTTTTTTTAAATGTCAAGTCCCGGCTCAATTCTGAGCCTAGATTTTAATATTAAAATTAGTGCAGCAGCAACTGTTACGTTATCCAGAAAAGAACTTCAAAATTTGCAGTGTTCCATCTACCCTAATATAATAGCCTGCATAAAGGAAGGTTTTTTTGAAAACCTATTCTGAAAGAGTCATAGATTCTCAGTGAATGATTGCCTTGGGGGTATTGAGTGATTCATAGATTTGTTTTAGAAATTAACTTTTATAATTTTACATGTGCAGGACAGACTTTATTATTACTGCCAGTCATGATGGACATGTTAAGTTCTGGAAAAAAGTAGAAGAGGGAATTGAATTTGTTAAACATTTTCGCAGTCACCTGGGTAAGAATTTCACCTTTTTTTGGCTGTCTTTTAAACTATACTACAGTTTTTTTTTAACTTTTTTTTATTTGAATCATGTGCATTTATTTCATTGGTACTTGGTGTATTTATTTCATTTATTTACACAGGAGTTATTGAGAGTATTGCAGTTAGCTCTGAGGGAGCATTGTTCTGTTCTGTGGGTGATGATAAAGCCATGAAGGTGTTTGATGTAGTGAACTTTGACATGATCAATATGTTAAAGCTTGGGTGAGTCTTTTTTTAATTATATATTTTTAACTTAGTGAAATAATTTTTAAACTAAACTTTACCATTTCATAGGTATTTTTAAACAGAATATGTTATTATTCCATTAAAAATGTACCTTTGGATTTTGCTTGGGAAATGGTGAATCCTTCTTATGATGCTATTTGGAGGCTTCTGCTGTGGTTTTTGTCATTAATCGCCACAGAAATTTCCAAACAGCATCAGAGCAATAATTCATTATATCCATTTAACACTACTTAGTAACTAGGATCCACCATGTCTAATTTACTGGTACTTATAATTAAACTTGTGCTTATTTGAGTAATGTGGTATTATGTTCTTACAAAGCTTATGCACATTTTTGGAACTGAAGTTTATTGTTGGTGATTTTAAACTTTGAAGTATATTGATACCCAAACTTTGTGGTTAAACTGCACAGGAATGAGGCTAATACTTTGCTTTAAGCATGTCTTTTTTAAGAGAACATACTGAATTTATGTACTCCTAATTGAATGTCAACCTGAAAGTTATACTATTGTCAGAAACAGGTTTAAGACTTGTCTTCTTCTCCTCAGACTGCCATAACAAAATACCATAAACTGGGTGGCCTAAACAACAAATTTATTTTCTCACAATTCTGGAGGCTGGAAAGTCCAAGGTCAAGGTTGCAGCAGGGTTTGGTTTCTGGTGCGAATTCTCTTCTCTGTTTCACATTGTGTCTTCATTGGGAACAGGGGATGGAAGGAGGAATGGTACCTCCCTCTTCTTCTTAGAAGGTCACAGGCCTGTGGGGATAAGGCCCCCACCCATATGCCCGCATTTAAAACCTTAATTACCTCCTAAAGACCCTGTGGCCATATACAATCACATTGGGGGTTAGAGTTTCATATGAATTGGGATGTGGGAGTGGAGAACTGTAGTTCAATAATGAGCAGGACTTCTTTTGGAATTTCCTACAAAACCAGTGTACAAACCACTAAAGGAAATCAGTCTCATTATTTATGGTCAGAACTTACTTTTTGACCACAAATTGAAATACCTGTTGATCATCTGTCTTACTCCCCATCTTCC